CTGCTGAACATCAAATGTGAATGAGTTACTTGCAGATGCCGTTTTTATGGTCAATTCGCCGCTGACAAGTAATCCACATGTATACATATTATTGCTGAAGTTAACAATTTGTGCCTCTTTCTACTTTGGTAGATGAGTCCAATCCAGCTCAAGATATGTATATATTAACTCAGCAATGCAACTTAATGCTCTAGAGATCTATTTAAGAAAGCATTACAGAAGGACAAACACAACTCCACCATCACTTAGGGAAGGAAATAGTTGTCATTTGGTTGAAACTTTTTCAGGGAGAGTTGACAATTCAGAATATAATTTTTTAATTTTTAAATAATGGGCAATAGTCTGGAAAAGCAATAAAATAATTTCCTTTCATAACATTTATGCCTTTAGGTAAGTGGCTACTGCTGTCAGCAAAGGACTGAAATGATGAAAATCAGAAGGAAAAAAGATGTAAGCTTTCACCCATCCTGGCATCTCAGTATATCAAATTTAAGGCAAGGGAGATGAAACCATGAAGAATTAAAATGACCTGAGCAGAAGGCTAAACAGTCTGGGTAGCTGAGATGTGTCTGCTGCTGTACTGCACAGCTATGTATGTAAAAGTGAATTGTAATTCATGTATATAAGAACTCAACATCATGAGAGGAACTGCAGTGGCCCAACAGTAAATGTGAATTATGGCCAGCCCTGAGCACAGCTTCAGTAGCCCCCATCTTGATGTAACTCCTGTTACAAGTATTTTGCTTGTGTTGGGCCCAATCTATTTCTACAAATGGACAGAAAAGAAGTGCAGAACAACTCTCCTCCCTTACCCCAACCTTCTTTTACCCCCTGGATTGTCAAATGCAGCTAGGAGCAATAGTAGCCACTCCTTTTGCTGACAGCATACAATTACGGCCCATAATCAGATGGATTCTTTACATTCCGTCCTACCTTTCATGCTTGCTCTGGAGAAGTCATAATTTGCCCCAGATTTTATTTAAACCAGCTCCTAAACCCAAACAGAACAACACTGTTCTCGTGAGTCTAATTAATACAAATTGCCCTAGAAGTCACAGTCATGTTGCACTGTTTCCACTGTATTTATGAAAGGGAAAGCATTAACTCACAATGCTATATTTCATTCGGAAATACACACATAAATGCAAAGGAATTCCTCAGTGGCAACACTGAGGAAAGGTTCATTCTGCAGCTGTAGCCTCAATTATGCTTGACATCCATAACGAAATATTTCAGTTTCAAGGGTTTTTTCACTGGCAATGTTACATTTCCATATAAAATGTGTGACATTCTGCCCTTTTACAGTGTTCTGTGAACATTAACTTTATGGATTTTCTTTCTGCCTCCCCCCTGCTGTAACAATTTCTGCCAACGATTAAAAAAACCACACTGACATTTATCTCGAAAAACTATTTTAACACAACTTAGTGTTTATTCTTTCCCTTGCTGTCTACCAGACATTGAATGCAATATGAATTAACATATTTAAACCCTCTTAATTAAAAATGTGAAAGCTTTCTAGACTTTACATATCAACTGTGATCTATACAAGTTACAGTAATACGTGTTCTCACAGGGAAAGGGAGCCTGGCCCTGCTCCCATTGTCATGAAGACCAACATACTTTCTATGTGAGGCCAAATGAGCACAGAAAAAGAAACTGATGCGACTGTGACAGGAAGTAGGAGAAAAAATCTTGCCCAGACTGTCTTTCTTTTTGCAAGATATACAAAGCTGTATAGTTAAAAGATAGCAATGGAAAGGATCTTTGAGACCGACAGTTTTTGATAGTATGTGCCACATAGGTGCTGAGAGTGACAGGTAGTGTGTTCTGAAATGCTTGTTGGTTTTTTGGTTTATGGTTTGGGTTATTTTTTTTTTTGGAAGCGCTGGATCATTTAGCAAAGCACATAGACTAGGTACACAGCTGTAAAAACACTCCACCTCAGGCTTTGCAGATAATCAGAAGATGCAGACACACAGCCAACTGTTCCCCACATGCAGTTCTGGGGCTGCATGTGTGTGCAAGACACAAGAGCTGTTTCTTTCTCTACTCACATCACATTCAACCCCCTCAATGTGACAACACAAAGCAAACTCACTCCAGTGTGCTCAAAGAGAAAACTGCTTTTGTCCTGCATCTTCCAAACCAACCTCTCTTCCCTCTGTTAAAGGAAGGCGCTGACATGCTTTTTGCTACACCCCTAATGATAACCTTGTGGAAACCAAACCAAACAACAAACTAATCCTCCCCTGGCTTCCTCCAAAACCTGCGAGCAGCAGATCTGTGACTCTTAAAACACCTTATCAGGAAGAAATTTTTTTGCTTTCTCCTGTAACAGCAATAACAGAAGTAAAAACTTAGCAGAACGACTCATTACACCTCATTTTGACAAGCTGCCATAGAGATGATAATCCAGATTTATGACAACCTCAGAGAACAGCCAGTCTAAACCAGGATCAGAATGCAACACCTCTTTCCAAATAACTGTCCCATTTTAAAATGTTTCTGTGAAAAGCAGTGACTTTTTTCCAGGCTATTGGTTGTTACTGACTTCAGGTCTTTTGAAGGAAAATAATCTATTGTCTCCCTTAAATATGCAATAGTTTGACATTCTCTAAGGAAACTAAGTCTTAATGCTAGGGATCCAGTATGCATTGCCTTTTTTCTTAAAGTTCTTAATAACAAAGGACCACTTCGGGATAACTGAACTGCATCCTTCTCAGACAGTGATGCTCTGAGGAGTTGGTGAATCTCTCCCACCTGTGCAGTTGCCATGTACATATAGTCCACTGAACTTCTACCCCTCCTTCCAAATACCCTACTCTGTCTTCAGAAACTTCAACGGCAAATGGAAACTCCTGGAACATGTTTAAAAGGTTGTTTTGGGCAAGTATTTTTGTATCTCCTAAACACTCATTTGTACAATTTCTGTAAGCTGAATATTCAGTCTTGGTATTTTACAATTCTCTTTAAAGCTCTACAACACAGCGGAGTGCAATACCATCTCCACACATCAGAAACAGCATTTATGTTTTTCTCAATGCTTAGTCAAAATAATAAAGTCATAAAAAGACCCACTGGCCAGGATCTGACAGCAGAAATTTTGAAAAGGAAATCTGGTACAATTGTTTAACAATGAAAGTGATTAATCAGTTGAACAGCTTATCCAAGAATGTGTAAGATTTTCTGTCAGCTGAAGCCATTAAATCGATACATTTTTCCAGAAGACACGCTTTAATTCATCCAGAAGCTATGGAAATCAGCACAGGATTATTAGGTGAAGTTCTATCATCCCTGTCATGCAGAAAATCACTCAGTCAAAATGATCCCTTCTTAGATTTCAATTTCTCTGACTTGCAGACATTTTCTGGGCTGTGGCACCACAGCTAGCTAAAGCTGAACTCAGGCAGAACCAAGATTATGCTTCCTAAAGTGACAGTGTCTCCCCCAGCATCTGGGATCAGAGTGTTAACTGTGGTTTTGAGGTCCTTTGGGACTTCTCAGTACCATCAAGTCTGCAAATAGCAACAGCTGCGGAAAACCCTGTAAAAAATGACACACAAAACATAGTGCATAGCTCTGGTCACAGGGATCCATGTATCTGTTACCTCCAGGCTGAATTACTGTAGTCTTCTCTGTGTGGGAAGGAAACCACAGATGTTGGGTTCCTCCAGCAGGGACCAGAAAAGCCCATTTGATGGCCAACCCAAGACACTGCACACACCGATCTGTGGTCCCTTTGCCAAAATAACACAGTTTGAAGAGAGCCTGCCCAAATTAATATCCCAAAGGTCTGTCTCACTGTGAAACTACCTCCTTCTTCATTTGGCTGCAGCAGGCAAGTTATAAAGGAAGGGTTGCAAGGAGGAAATTCTTCCACAAAGCGAGTACCGCTGACCACTTCTAATGGACCCAACAGGGAACAATAACCCTACTGATGGTTGGCTTGGCCTCACCCCTCCTCCACATCTGGAGGGATCTGTGAACTGGAAGAGGTTTGTGCATGCCAGAGCAATTCACTCATCCACTGACAACTTCCTAAATTACTACAACCTCTCTGTGTCTGGCTATGAACAACAGCATTGCACAGACCCATGCAATGATCCTCCAAGGCATCCCATTACAACTTGTGTGTTGGAAGACAGACTGGGCTCTTCCATAGGCTCAGCTGTTCCCTTCCATTCCTGGACTGAAAGGTTTTCCTGCTGGCTGGATTGGGGGTTTTAAGCTGGGCACAATAAAGGTCCAGAACCACACAATGTTGAGCTGTTAGGTACTTATTCACCAGTGCGGTCTCCAGGCTGTGGGGCATGAAAACCTTTGTGGAAAGTAATGTACTCTGTTTGCATGGTCATGACTTCATCCCCTTCTGTCTGCCTCAGTGCACAGAGGAAAATAATAAAGTGTTTAAATTTAACTGTCTCCTGTATACCAAAAGATATCCTTCCTGCCCTATTAAACAAAGAGTTGTACTGTACATTAATCCCACTGGAAAAAGGGAACAAGCACAGCTGTGAGTATGACTAATTACTGACTCAGACTGTTACAGATAGCAAACAAATTGTGCCAGAAAAATCTGTGAAGTTAGCTCTTCTTTCAGGCCACTACTGTATATAGGAAAGTAAAATTCTACTGAGAAAGAAACAGAGATTTTTACTTACTGATACAAGAAATAAGATCATTAAATCTTTCCTTAGGAAAGACGGGATTTTCCAGGCCTCGGAAATAGAGCTTCAGTACTCCAGCAACTGAGTTAATGTCATGGTTACTTTGGTCATCTGCCAAAGGATTTTCACCTTAAAAAGCAAATAAAGTGAATGAAACACATATGCAGGAGCATTCTTGCATGCAACATTTTTGTAAGTGAGTGACACTTTGGGTTTTTTTTGTTTTTAGTCTGTGGGAGGTGGCAATGCAAGCATTCAAGTAAGATAATAAACATTGATTTGGAAATCCCAGGCTATGATTAAACTAAAACCAGCAGCCTAAATAAAGCTTCCTTTAAGTTACATAACTAAGTGATCTCTTAGGTCCTGAACTTCCAACTAGATATTTACAGACACATCGTGATTTACAGTTAGCCAAATAAAAAAGCCAAATGTTCTTAATTGAATAGGGTTTTGCAGACTGTTCTATGGGAGCTTACATAAAGCAAGTTGAGATAGATAACTCTCTGATTTGAAATCTGTCTTCATCCTGAAAAATTAAAATATTCAGGAATATGTGCAACCACTTTGTGGACACTGTTTAGGAACTGGAACCCTAACTGACACATCAGCCATGACTGAACTACTTGTCATTTTAAAGACTTAATCTTTGTTCTGAAACACTTTAAAATGTATGCATCTTCCAGAATAACACTACCTAGAAGAAGCAGTTAACAGTAAGGTAGACTTACAACCTGGAGAATAGGAGGATGTGGCTTCACTTAGCATGTAAAGACATCTGCTTCAAGTATCTTGTCAAAGACAAGATCAGGTTTAACAAGATATGTAACTAATCCTGGGGAGAAAATACACTGTGCATATTTTTTTCCATGCTTTTAGTCACAAGACTTATTGCTCCAAGGCTTTTCTTATTAGCAGATGATCTGCAAAAGTTTTTTCTGGAAACTAAAATCCTGTCTTCTACAAGCCAACAAAAAAGAACGTAAAATTTAAAAAAAAAATAAAAATAAAAACCCCCAACTAGTATTGTTTTAACCGAATTAGGAGATTGCTGGATCCTGGCTCCCCTCGCAGAGCAATCCTAGGCTGGGTGTTGCAAGCCACTCATGTTTAAAATCTGTTTTGACTTCCCAGTATCTTTCCTGTAATTCCTCCTCTGAAGCTGGAGTTTCTTTCGGGAATGAACACAGTGGTTGAAAATGGAATGACCGTTTCACAGCCTGTATTCTCATTGATCATGATGCCACTTTGGCAGAGGGACCAGAAGGTTGAGCACTCCTATTCCAGAAGATCAAGTAACAGGGTTCTCAAACCACGTTAAGAAATCACTTGAATCTAATTAAAAAACATAATTTTCATGTCTGAGTATCCTGAAAATAAAATCCAGACGAACTATTGTTTGCAGTTTATCATTAACAAAAGCCTAAAGTTTACAGTTGATTCATGAATCATATGCCTCATCTAAACAAAATGAAAAACAACTTCATGCTCCTAGAACATAACGGGAAAAACATATACGTGTCATCATTATACTTCATCTTTAAGCATATGACAGTGCAAAGTTTTAGGTGCAGTACACAAAGTGCATATAAACTGCTTAACCAGCCAAGAAAGTAATTAGAATTTAAAAGATTTTTGAATGTCAGATATTAAGGTGCTCAAATAAATGAAAATGCAATTACCTCTCTCAAATGAATTCTTAATATCATTGACTTCCACCTGGGAACCAGACACTCTAAAAATTCCCTGATGCTGAAGACCTATAGCAAAGATGGGAGACAGTGGTGAGAAATTTCAAACTACTTTTGATGTCTATTTTAAAAACAAAGCTGCGGTGGTAAATGCATTATGCAAAAGATACACAAAGAAGTCTGGGCAATAATGAAATGACATAGTATGTTTCAGAGCTTACCATATAAATTGATAAATCTGATACAGCTTTCCACGATGAGAGGAATGACTTGTCCCGAATCCTGTAAAAATAAGAGCAGAAAGAGTAAACTGCAGATCGGAAAGAGGAAATCTCCATACTCTGGACTGAATGTGAATATGCATTTTCCTGGTCAATCCAGATGGACATACAGTGCTGGCAAAGAAATACATAAGAAAAAAATAATTTCTAACAGAGTTCTCTTCCCATTTAGGGACAGAGGGAAAAGAATGGGCGAAGATAAAGGATTATGGTTCTTTGTTAAAATCATTGAATTGGGAAATTCAGAGACTTCATTCTTTACCTCTGCCACTGTATCTGGCTAACACTGTATGTGACATCTAAGGTCATGCATGTGTTTTAGATTTTTGAAGCAAAATGAGTTAAAGCAGTGAATTTGCCTTTTAAAAAGTTTATTATGAAGAATAATAATGAAGATGATCCCTCTGCATCCATTTAACTTACCTTTCTTTTCTTCCTTTACCCAAAGAAGCTGTGGCTGCCCCATCCCTGGCAGTGTTCAAGGCCAGGCCGGGTGGGGGTTTGAACAACCTGGTCTAGTGAAAGATGTCCCTGCCTGTGTCAGGGGCTGGAACTAGATGATCTTTAAGGTCCCTTCCAACCCAAACCATTCTGCGGTTCTATGATTCCTGGTGGAGAATGGATCTAATTCCTCAAGGTGCCTTTTTTTTTTTTTTTTTGGTAAAAGATACTGATCCCAAACCGTTGACAAGGCCTTTTCTGGACCTGCTGGACTATCAGAAATGTCCCTGTAGAAGAGACACCAAAGGACATTGCATAGAGTACCAGGTGTCCCCCTCCTGACCTGAGAGCACTCCTACATGCTCTGCTGATTCGTGTGTCCTAACATGGTGCAGATGATTGCCTGGTATGTTGTTTCAGGCTGCTCTAACTAGGTGATAATATGCTGGGTGGTGAACTGTAGTCACTCTGAGCTGAGCAGGTGGTTACGCTGTCTCTTCCATAGGCACAAAGGTACTGGGAAAGGGACATTCCAGCCTACACCTCCCTGCCTGAAACTGGCAGAGCTCAGTAATCAAAGCTCCTGGTCTCCACCGTGTTATAACAGCAGGTCTATAGCTACAGCTCCAGGTAAGTAGAGGTGTTTTAATAAAGGAAAAAAAGTGCTTTTGGTGGGAGGGAGAAAAGATGATGATACACTAATTTTCAGTGAGATATTTGTCTTTTTCTTTTAAACTACTGATTTTTTTAAAAGAATATCACGGTCCTTCATCTGTGTGTTTTGGCACTTTAAAAAAATGGATGTTTTAACCCAAGCACATTAGTGACTACAAGTCATCAAGTATCTATTAAAGACACAAATCATATGATTAAAAACTATTTAGAAAAGTTGGTGCTCACACTGAAAAATTACTGTTTCATAAGTAATAGGTACCTTTGAAATTCTTGTCTTGGAAGCTGTAATTTTTCCTTTCCAAATTAATTTCAAATACGTAAGCACTCAGAGAACTGACTAATCCGTTTGAAAGTTTAATATAAAACCAGTCTGTATTACAAAGCTGTGAATTCAAAAGCACCCTGTAACTCAGAGTACACATTTCCTCTTACAAACTAGTCCTTCGTTTTCATGCTCAATTACACTAATGGGAAGCTTATGAATTAAACCCAAGTAGAAGAAAAGCCAACTACTAAAAAAAGTTTGAAAAATAACACAGCGAAGCAATGAAACAATGCACTTCCTGAGCTAACCTAACCCCTGATGGTCTGTGTACTCCATGTTGTTTTAGTGGGGCTTACAAAAGGCTGTACTGCTAATTATGTTATTTAAATTGTGGCTTGTTTGTCTTTTAACTTAAAACCTAGCAAAGACTGGCTAGTCAAGAACCAGTAATGTCTGGATGAACACTGGGTTTTTTTGAGTTGTGTAACAGCTGAATAGCACCCCCCCACCCC